GTGTGTGTGTGTATCTGTCACCCAAAACTCTTATGAACCACTGGATGAAACTTGCAGAAAATACAACTCTGGACCACAGTTTCCCTGCATTTGATTGAAATCATTCCACTAAATATTGATTTCTGAACTCTTTCTGAGTTCAAACATTATTATTGTTGTTTCTAAATGAATATGAACTTGTTTTCTGTGCAGTATGTGAGGTCTAAAAACACTGGATTTTTTGTCATCATTTTCTGCAAAATAAATACTCAATTTTTGCTTGGCATTTTGGAGACATGTTGTCAGTAGTTTGTAGAATAAAATAATAATGTTCATTTTACTTAAACATATAYCTATWAAGAGYAAAATCATAGAAACTGATCATTTTAAAGTGRTCTATTCATTTTTTCCTGAGCTCTAATCACTAGATGTACGATCTACAACCCTTAACCTTTGGAGTAAACCTGAAAGCTAACGGTCATCAGCCAACATAAAACTGGTTCTAACTCAGTTAAATGTGGCGGGACGCATGCTTTCTCTCAGTAAATACTAAGTTAGACATTTCCTTATAGCTTCCACCTGTTTTTATGAGTAACAATGAAAACCATGATGATTTRACATATGTAACGTCTGTGGTTTATAAAGGGGCACACACCTCTGTGCGTCTCAGAGTCTCGGATCAAAAAGGCTCCACTCTGGTTGTCTGAATGCTTCAGCAGCTCCTCTGCTTTGTACCTGCTGATGCCCGTGAACAGCCATCTGAACGAGAAATAAAATAAAAATAAGATTGGTGTGCGAATAAAGATACGCTCCAGTAAGAACAAGAGTGTTGCTTTTCATGTTTGGAAAACCCACTGGAGCCACGTCAGAGCAGCTCCAACCACCGGAGGAGGAGTGAAACTGCTGGAGGCAGAGGCTGCTCGTGTCACCGGAGAGAAMTCGGGTCTTGTTCCGAACATTTGTTTTGTCCTCCCACCTGCCACAGGGACCCCCCCCCACCCACCACCACCACTCCTCCACCTCCATCACTTGAAGGTTGCTCACCTGTGTGTCACCTTGGCCGTGTAGTTGACGGGGATGTAGCTCTCGCGGCCTGTGGTCGCAGATCTCACCAGCATGAAATCACCATCACTAGGAGAAAGAAACATTTTTTTAAAAAGAGTTTTTATTCATCTGTAGGAAGAGAAAGATGAAACATTAAAAAGCTACTGTTGTTTTTTTATTTTTTCTACTTGGATTATTGAGACATATTTTTAATGAAAACTTCAGTTTTTCTCCTCCAATTTTGGCTACTTTTAAAGTTAGGGGAGCTTTTGTTTGAATTTATTATGGCTCCGCCCACTGGGACCGAAGGCACACTGTTCTCTGTGTGTTAGCGTGGTGTCCGTCCATCACAGGTGGTCTTGTGTGCACAATGTCTCCTAAATGAAATGATATATTTACTTATAAATAGGCATAGTAACTCCTTTAAGGTAGTGCTCAATCTGATTAGGTTTGGGAATCAAAGGGTCAAAGGTCAAGGTCATTTATGAGGATTGGTCATTTAAAACTGGCATTTTTTCCTAATTCCTCGACAGTACAAATAAAACATCTAGTTAAATGATGTGGTAAATATCAAAGAGGGAGTCATGTTTAGACATTGTTGATATAGTTACATACTTCTTACAATATTTAAGCCTGAAAATAGAGGTTAAAAGGTAATTGTTCAGTGCGTTCAAGACAACTCTGGCAGGTGGAGGTAAACCAGTTGATGCTTTGACATTGAGTTCTACCTTGTTTTGATGTGCTTTTGTTGTTTTAATGTGTTCAATTGGTTGAATGGATTTTACAGTTTTATTCCTGCATAGGAGGTCTCTGTTGAAAATGAGATTACTGTGTTTCAACAAGACTTAACCTGCAGAAATAAAGGAAGTAAAATAAAAAAAAAACTTACTCCGATAGGATTGTTAATTTCTCCCCCATGTGCATGGTTAGCTCCGTGTTCTCCAAAGATGGGTAGTCGTAGAGAGACACGACCAAATTTTCCTCAACATCTGCAGAAAGAGACATAAAAGATGTTGGAT